TACGTAACTGAAAAGAAATTAGACCTCAATGCCCCTGGTCATCCTACAGACTTGGCAGAGCGACTTTGTGGGGACATGAGCTTCATTAAGGTGAAGTTTTTGCCTCCTAATACCACTCCTCTCCTGCAGCCCATGGACCAGCAGGTTATTGCAAACTTCAAAAAACTGTACACAAAAGCTATGTTTGAAAGGTGCTTTGTAGTGACCTCAGAAACTCAACTGACTCTAAGAGAGTTTTGGAGAGAGCACTTTAATATCCTCAATTGTGTAAACCTATAGGTAAGGCTGGCAGGGAGTGACTAAGAGGGCCTTGAACTCTGCTTGGAAGAAACTGTGGCCAAATGTGTAGACCAAAGGATTCTGAAGGATTTGAGGCTAACCCTGAGAATCCTATACCAGTTGAGGAATCAATTGTGGCATTGGGGAAGTCCTTGGGGTTGGAGGTTAGTGGGGAGGATGTGGAAGAGTTGGTGGAGGAGGACAATGAAGAACTAACCACTGATGAGCTGCTAGATCAACTTCAACAGCAAGAGGCCACACCTGAGGAAATTGCTTCGGAGGAGGGAGAAGAAATTGAAGAAGTTGCCTACTTCAAAGATTAAGGAAATCTGTGCAAAGTGGCTTGAAGTGCAAACCTTCATGGATGAAAATCACCCTCAGACAGCTATTCCAAGCCGTGCTGGTGATTATTACACTGACACTGTTGTGAAACACTTTAGGAAAGTCATAAAGGAACGAGAGGTACAGACCACTATGGACAGATATGTTGTGCGACAGAAGTCCAGTGACTCTGAAGCTGGTCCTAGTGGCATTAAAAGAAGAAGGGAAGCAACCCGGGAAAAGGACTCGACACCTCAAGTCCTAGTGGAAGGGGATTCCCCTTCTAAACACTAAAACCATCCAGTCTCCCCTCCTCCCATCCCATTAATCATCACCACATCTTCAATAAAGGTAAGTGTCATGTAACTGTGCATGTTTTCTTAAGTTTGTGTGTATTAAAATTAACCCTTTGAGGGTTTCGGATGTACTAGTACGGCTTACGAGCAGAGGTTTTTGACGTACTAGTACGCATAAATTCTAGCGCCGTCAAATCTCGCGGGAAAAGGCTGGTAGGCCTAGATGTGAGAGAATGGGTCTGTGTGGTCGGTGTGCACAGTAGAAAAAAATCTGGGACCCAGTGGTGCATTGTGGGAATGCCATCTTAGTAAACAATGTCCACCATGCCTCGCGGTAAGAAGCTCCTCACTCCTCGGTGAACGAGGGACACTTTTGTTCCCCAGTGACAGTTCTAATACAGATGAAAGTGCCAGTGAAGATGAGTTTCAAGGTTTTGGTGAGGTTTTGACCGAAACTAATGACCATAACATCGGTAATAGTGAGGAAAACCCAGACGACCCTCAGCCTTCCACCTCTGGTGCTGGGCCGTCTTGTTCACGTTCAGTTGTACCAGAATCCAAGAGGAAACTCCTATTTTCCCAAATCCCAGACTCAGATTAGAACATTTGTGATGATAGTGATAGTGAATATGAACTACAAGCTCTTCAAACTAGTTCCAGTAGTGATAGTGAAGTGCAATATTCCCCAGTGAAGCGTCAGTATATACGACGATATAGCGCTCGGGTAGTGTGCCATATGCTATTCCGGGGGGAAGGAGTACATCTCGGAGTAACATCCCGTGCTGTACAACAGGAACAGACAGTGAAAATGACGATGATACTGTTGCAATTGGGATGAAAAATGTGCGTGGTGTAGTGGTGCCGGGCGGTGGGGGCACCAGCAGTGGGCCATGCTGCCACCCACGCCGCTGCCTCGCTGATCTACAGCAAAGGCCACCATCCCCACCCACCCACCACACCAGCCTCCACAACCACAACCTCCACAACCACAACCACCTGTCGTTGTCCAGTACCCACCAGCTGACCGCCACCTGGATTGGCAGGAAGCTGTCAATTTTGTTCCAAATCCCCACCCATTTGATGACAGCCAAAGTGGAATACGGCCATCTTGTACACTTGGGAACAATGCCACTGAACTGGAATGTTTCGAGTTATTCTTTGACGAACCCCTGATGGAAAGTATTGTCATGGAAAGAAAAACCCATACAAACGAGTACACCATGGCAAACACATTACTTTCACCAAAATCACGTCTACACCATGGAAGGGGGCAACTGTGGCTGAGATGTATCTTTTCTTTGCCACAATAATGCTTATGCCACATGTGTATAAGCACAAAGTGAAATCATACTGGTCAACAGACCGCCTGATTGCAACCCCAGGTTTCAGTGATATAATGCCAGTGAATCGATTTGTGCTAATGTTATGTATGCTTCACTTCTCAGACAAAACCAGGCCTGACAGAAACGACAGGTTATATAAGATTAGAATGTGTTTGTGTATCTGAAAGAGAAATTCAGTACGCATTTTTATCCCTTCAGGAAGCTTGTAATTGACGAGTCTGATTCTGTTCAAAGGAAGACTCTCGTTCAAGCAGTATATACCAAGCAAGAGGAAACGCTTTGGTATAAAGTTGTTTGTGCTTTGTGATTGTTACAGTGGTCTGATATTGGATATTATTGTGTACACTGGAAGTTATATATTGCAAAATACCAGGAATTTATTGGGCACCTTTGGTGATGTGGTTAGAACAATGGTAGAACCATACCTTGGTAAGGGGCATATATTATTTACGGATAACTGGTACACAAGCCCCTCACTCAGTGATTTTTTGCGAGTGAACATGACAGATGTGTGTGGCACAGTGCGTGCAAATCGGAAACATATGCCCAGGTTTGACGCTGGCACTTGTAGAGGTGAGGTGCAGGCATTTGCTGCCAATGACATCATGGCATTTCGGTGGCATGACAAACGAGATGTCACACTGTTGTCATCAGTTCACCCTAATGAAATGGCAGACAGTGGCAGGCAGCATAGAGAGAGCAATGAACCCATTCTAAAGCCTTCAGCTGTGATTGATTACACCTTCAACATGCGTTCAGTGGACAAATGTGACATGCAGATTGGGTTTGCTGATTGTGTTTCGCAAGAGTTATAAGTGGTACATCAACTCTTTTTTCCATCTTCTGGACATTTCCATGCTCAATGCTTATAATATGTATAAGATGAGGACCAGAAACAAACCACAGTACGGCGAATTCTGTTTGTCTGTCATCAGACAAATAGTATTCAAGTACCAAAGAAGAACACTTGCAATAGACCGCCCACCAAATTATCAACAACTACCTGCTCGTCTGAAGCAAGGTGATCACTTCCTAGTAAAACTGCCTGCTACTGCTTTCAAGAAAAAGGCTCTAAAGAGGTGTTACATCTGTGCACATACAAAAAAAACGCCCAGAACAACGCAGAGACACTCGTTTTATGTGTGAGGAGAGTAAAACACCACTGTGCATGACACCATGTTTCAAAGACTTCCACAGGTTGCAGAACTTCTAGAAACATGTCCTGTGACTGTATATGTGTATATAAAATATAGAAAAATAGTAATAAACAACATTTCATATCATTTGTTTGTGTAAATATTTTCTATAAACAAAATAATGACAACAGTGTTTACGCCCTTATTGTGTAGTATTGAAAAAGAAATAACTTACAAAATACTGATCATATTGGTCTCAGAGGCCATAAAAGTTACTCAGAAAAAGAAAAATTTAAAAATAATTGAAAAATAGTACATAAAAAAGTAAATAGAAAATTACCGGGTGACGGCAGTCGGCGATGTTACCAGATGTTCAATTTTGGCAAACTTCACGCCTCCATATCTCGGTAAGTATTGATGGTAAAAAAATTTTGTTTAGCCTATAATGTTTAGAAAAAAAAAACTATTTTTTCACAAGAAAAAATAATTTTTTTTTTTTTAAATTTGGCCGACCCTGAGAACGAGTTTCTGAGAGGGCCTGTCGACCCTCAAAGGGTTAATATTTCATGTGGTAAATTTTTTTTTTTCATACTTTTGGGTGTCTTGCACGGATTAATTTGATTTCCATTATTTCTTATGGGGAAAATTAATTCGCATAACGATAATTTCGCATAACATTGAGCTCTCAGGAACGGATTAATAGCGTTATGCGGGGGTCCACTGTATTTCTCTTTTTTATAAAAGGGTGATCATACTTTTCCCTAACAATAGCCTTGAACAAAGCCTACAGAGTCTAGAGATCGATCCAGCACTAAGAGGCATTCCCAACCTTCCACAGACAGGTACCCCAAATATTTATTCCAGATGATGGGAATGAAGTGTTATTACTGATCAGACAGTCATGTAAAAGTCAGGCTGCCTGTTATTTAAAGACTCGGCCATGCCAGGTTCTAATGCCGTGATTTGGTTGGATGCACTCTCGCCTCACACAGTGTTCATGGCTCAATCCTCAACATGGGTGGAAATGTTGGGCATATTTCCTTACACCTGCTGTTCCTGTTCACCTAGCAGTAAGTACCTGGGTGTTAGTTGACTGGTGTGGGTCACATCCTAGGGGACAAGACTGAAGGACCCTAATGGAAATGAAACAGACAGTCCTCGATGATGCACTGACTTTCTTGGGTTATCCTGGGTGATAACCCTGACCAAGGCCCTACACATTTTCCAAAAAGATTAGAGTTCTGTACCATTATTTTCTCATAAGCAGAAGTCATTACTGAAAATTGTCATGTACAGCATTTTAAAAATCTATTCTACTTGAAATCATAACATGATCCCAACAACTCAATGAATGAAATGAACCTTGAACCCTTGTAAGCCAGTCCTAAAACTAGCAAGCCAATCCATTAACTATTGTACCATACTGGCCTAATAAGATTCATCCAACTAGGTGTATTTCTATACACATTAGAAAGGTTAGCATGGGTCCTATTGTGACTAAAGATGCAGATTTTTACAGAAGAATCTCATCTGCATTGCTGCAGCAAGCTCTAGCTCAAACAGTTAAAAATAAATGCAAATTAAATAAATGCAACATATTGCATATGAAAAGAACAAAGTTGGAAAATAAATATACTACTGTCTTACTTATTAGCTTCAACCAGCTTATCAGCAATCAGATTTATAACAGGTACGATTTCATCGTAAGCAGGAGCGATGTATTCTGTATCATCATCATCCGTTCTTTCATCGTAGCTTTCCTCCTTTCCCTCTCTGCATTTATTAATTAAGATTTTTTCTTGTTCTTCACTTTCTTCTTCTACAAAGATAGAAAAATAAGAAGTTAGAAAAAAACATAAGATATCCCCATACTGAGAAACCTAATTAACATTACACTTACAGCATATTACAATTTGATTTAGATTTGTTTTAATAAAAATAAACAAATAATCTTGATCTGATGTACTGAATCATAGATTCCATAAAATGTAGAATACAGTGGACCCCCGCATAACGATTACCTCCGAATGCGACCAATTATGTAAGTGTATTTATGTAAGTGCGTTTGTACGTGTATGTTTGGGGGTCTGAAATGGACTAATCTACTTCACAATATTTTTTATGGGAACAAATTCGGTCAGTACTGGCACCTGAACATACTTCTGGAGTGAAAAAATATCGTTAACCGGGGGTCCACTGTATTATGGAAAGTAAACAACTTACTTTATGTGTATGAAATGGAATATCTAATACTGATAACTACAACTGTAATGTCCAATACAAAAATCCACAACATATATAATATCGAGGATTAAACTACAAAAAATTTCCTTTTCTGTCTTGAGGTTCTATATGTAACTTAACTTCTTAACCATATTTCATTTAATTACCAGTTTAACAAGTGAGATGAGACTGAATCTTTGAATTTTTTTTTAGCAATCTTTTGAATGGGGAGGGTTTAAGACATGGATTGTTCACATCTTTTACTGATGGCTTTGCTTATTTCTCAGAATTTTAGGCAGTTTACTCAACTTGTTGATTCACTCACTCAATTTCAACAATTTTATTAATAGAAATTATGATTACATTTCTATTTCAACAGTAGTCCCATAACATCATTATTTTAGTTAAGTACTGTTCCAAACACATTTTAGCACCTAAGTTATACAGCATTTTAATATACCTACTGGTATCATCTTTAATCAGTGTCCATATACTGCATCTTAACAAGAATAAGTGTAGATATGAGCATGTGTATACAAAGAATGCATCACAGTGGGAACTCACTGAGTTGCTTGATGAGATGGGCAATAGCCTGAGATGCAGCAGACTGTGCAGCAGTACGAAGAGCTCCTCCTCCTCTACCATAAGCCAGACCACACACCCCTACCACCTGTGTCACCACTTGGCCTGAGATGGTAATACCTGACACACAGCACATGTTCAGTAGAACCTGCAATATTTATGCTATCATTCAGGCATAGCTGGAACATTTAAAATGTGGCACTTTAAAAAATATGGAAGGTGGGGAAGGGGAAGAGGGGGATGGGAGAGGGAAGGAGGGGGGAGGAGGGGAGGGGGAGGGGAGGAAAGAGAGGAGAATGGAAGGAGAAAGAAGGGGAGGTAGAGGAGGAGGAAAAGAAGAGGAAGAAAAGAGGAAGAGAAGAGGAGAAGAGGAGGAGGAGGAGAAGAGGAGAAGAGGAAGAGGAGGAGGAGGAGAAGAGGAAGAGGAAGAGGAGGAGAAGAGAAAGAAGAGGAAGAAGAGAAGGTGGAGGAAGAGGATAAATTCACCAAAAACCTGCACCTGGGAAAGGAACCTGAGGATGAAATTTTGGTACATTCTGAACCCCTGTTATTACATGACAACACTGTCTGGTGGATCAAGGCTACTCTTCCCTCAAGCATGGACTCTATGTTGACCATAATAAGAGAGTTATCAAAATGCAAGTAATAGTAAGATGAAATCAAACAACAGTAACTGTACTTCAATTAACTCCAGGAGGATAATTATAAAAGTGTTTTATTACAAAAATAAATTTATTTAGGAAATAGGCAAGGGGGGTAAATATAGTTTAATACAGGTTGCCAGGAATATCACTGCATACAGTAGCTTAACTTTCTTCAGCTTATAGTAGTAAGAAATAAGAGCAAAATATTATGATATGAGCCTGACTATAAAAGATTATACTATACATCTCTCTTATAACCATAGGTTGGTCAATGGGTAGAGAATTAACAAATTCCACAGGTTTAACCTAACAGATATCACAAAGACATACAATAATAATAATACATTTCAGCCTCTCACCAACAAAGAAGCATAATGAACCAGTGAAAATGAGAGCACTACCAGGTGTCCACCCACCATCTAGGTGTGCCAGCACTATACACAAAAAACACCACCAACAATATACGTACAATAAAATCAGAGCAAGTGAGAGGCAATTTTATATGGAAGTCATCAGAAGTGATTGAAGTCATTTATGTCAATCTTGAGGATTCTCTCTCTTGTCAGATGTCCAAAATACTATTACACAAAAAAAAAAAAATAAAAAAACAGATTCACCAAGAGAGAGGTCAAGAAAGCCCGAAGATGTGGGGAAAACGCTGATCTTAGCATCTAGTTACCTTATGCTACAGGATCACATACATGTGTTACACAGTGGTTTGTCACGTATCATATACGTAATTTACCTTAAGAAGTTCCACTTGTGTGTCTTCTGAATGTAAAGGAAGGCTCTGCATAGTTGACAGTAGCTGACAGGGTAACCATACAGTCTCATCATCTTCTTCATAGCCACTATGAAACTGTGTATCTCGAAGCAACTGAAAGCACAATTACAGTATAGATGGATTAATTTTGGTGCACAAATTTTTGCTACAAAACATTAGCCATTTCTCACCAGGGCAAAATCTTCCAGAAAATAAAAACACATTTACCATCATTCATTTCCTAGGAGTCTTTATGGAAGTACACAGACATCATAATTCAAATGAGCCAAAATATTATTTTTTAAATTGAATAACATTGGTGAAATTTTTACTATAAAATATATACAAGTGAAGTAAACTGTAAATAATAATCATTACAATACGACACATCTTGACTGACACAGTACTCAATTAGTTTGATACGGTATTGTGGAAAAAAGTTAAGTGTTGAATAAATCACATGCACACAATCAGGTTAAGTTTCTTATGAAATCTATTAAGCCCTTTTAATGCAACTTAAATTATTTGTTAGAGACTAACTTTTCTAGAAGATTCATTTTGATTTTAATCTTAGGAAAGCATTAAACCCACTAAACCCATGGAGGTCATACAGTACCTATGGAATGGGGGGGATTCAAAAGAGAATTAAGAAAAGTGTAATTATGGTGGCACACACACAAAAAAAAGTAGCTAGGTTGACCAATTTAGTAGTAGCAGTTGTGATATTTTAAGTGCTTTGACAGCATTCAGCACCATTTGAACTAAAAGTTATACAATACTCGCACATTCACACCACACGCATGCAGGAGACTCAACCCCTGCAACCACAAACAGGTGAGAATGTACAAACACACACACACACACACACATGGGGAACTAAGAATGGCTAGTTTGAAAAAGCATGGGCTGCAAGACTCAAGAGTGCAATGGAACTAAATTGGGAAAAAAGGCTAAATGAGTTTTGCAACACAATGGTGGAGAATATATCTAGAGAGAGCAAGAAGTGGGCATTATGAGCTGTACTGCTGAAGCAAGATAACAGCCAGGCGAACTGAAGAAGGCTGAAAGGATTCAGAAAAAGACCGTAGGAGCAAGGTGACTGGAACAACATGGGAAAAGGCAAAGGAACTGAATGTGAGGATAGAGTAAAGAATCATCAGAAGCAATATAGCCAATGGCATTGGGAATGCTTGAGATAGATAAGGAGCCGGAGAGGAACTGGAAGTCTGAAAGGGGATACAAATAATGATACGATAGGAGCGGGTGCGAAACAACTCAGGCAGGAAGAAGACGAGGAAGCAAGAAATAAGTCCATCACAAAACAGAGGGGACTAACCCAGCGAACAATTTAAGAGACTTGAGATTGAGGGAATCCCCATCCCCTCTGAAGTTGAAAAGCAAGCTAGGTCACCATAGGTATTAAATGGATGACAGGCACCTCTGTACTCAGTGTCAATTTCTTGGTTTGAAAAAAGCAACAATTTATGTCAAAGGTTACAATGGGAATCCATGAACCTCATTGAGTTATGGGGGGTACATACCCATGACAAATTTTGAGAAACTGAGATCGGGAAAATCACGCCTCCAATCTAGGTAAAGGCCATAAGGCCTGTAAAGGTCATGTGGGTGTTGACATAGGAAAAAAATCTGGCGCTATGTGATATGGCGATGCATATTACAAATCCAACGGCCCGTAAAAGTTCCTTCATCTTCGGAATTGGACCATTTTTTCCTTTGAGTTTTGATTAGATAGTCTTACGCGTAGGGTTTGTTTAGAAAGGTTACCGATAAACTAAGCAGCCATAATATGGTCATGAGGAAAACCCAGACAACCCTAATGTCGAGACACCGTCTGTGCTGGCCGTGTCAAGTTAGCAAAAAAAGGGAACCCAGTGTTGCCAAATCCAGACGTCAATGTGCCATGATGACAATGAATTTCACTGACCAGCTCTAAACTTTCTCCACGAATTGGGGAGAGTGTACCCCAGTGACAGGAGCTGAAGTAAGAGGAAGTGACAGGAGATGAGTCAAGGTTTGGGGAGGAGTTTGGAGGAGAGAACTAAGAAAGATAGATGGGGTAAGAGAGGAGGAGAAGCAGGAGGACCCACAGCCTAGCGATCTGGAGGCTGGGAGAGGTTAGAGTTGGTACAGAATCAAAGAGAGGAGGAGAGGAGTGCGTAGAGGAGATGGAGGAGGAACCCAGTATTCCAAAATCCCAGAACATTCATTGTGATATCAATGAAGTTAGAACTACAGCTCTCAAACTGTAGAATGGGATGAGAAGGAGAGGATTATGAGAGACAGAGGCTAAGGTCAAGAATGGAGGAGGAGGAGGAGGCAGGAGGAGGAGGAGCAGGAGGAGGAGGAGAAGAAGGGAGGAGGAGGCAAGAGAGGAGGAGGCAGAGGAGGAGAGGAGGAAGAGAAGAGGAGGAGGAGGAGGAGGAAGAGGAGGAGGGGGAAGAGGAGGAGGAGGAGGAGAGAGGAGGAGGAGGAGGAGGAGGAGGAGGAGGAAGAGAGGAGGAGAGGAGGGGGAGGAGGAGGAGGAGGAGGAGAGAAGAAGAAGTAAAGAATACTAAGTTAATAATAATACATAATAAAAATACATAATAATAATAATACATAATAATAATAATACATAATAAATAATAGGTAATAATAATATGTAATAATAAATTTCACCCATGACAGTAACAAATAAGGGGATAAACATCTGATAAGTGCTGACGTTTGATGAGGGTAAATGAGGGTAGAGCTGATGCCAAAAGATGAGATGAACATCGCCCTCCCTTTGCTTTTGCTGGTATACTAACATTTCTGTCTGTCTATTTGCCTGTCTGTCAAGCTCCCTGTCTATCCATCTAGCTCTCTGTCTCAGAGAGCCACAAGACTGCGTCATCACTTTTACTCACATCTTCAAGCAGAGTATAGCACTTTGTCTGGGTTTCTTGGGTTATCCTAGGTAATTTATACTATGTATACTTGTATTTATGTGTACCTGTGAGACAGAGATAGACAAACAGATAGAATGAGGGAGAAAGATAATTAGATAGAATGGAGGAGGGGAAGCAGCATCCGACCCCATTGTTTTGACAGGCCGGAGGGGGAAAGAGTAATGAGCCAATATGTCACTTTGACAGCTGCCGACTCCTTGTAATTTACACTAATGGACGAGGAGGACAAGGAGAAGGAGGAAGAGTAGGGGAAGAGGAAGAAGAGGAGGAGGAGGAAGAGTAGGAGGAAGAGGAATAAGAGGAAGAGGAGGAGGAAGAGGAATAGTAGGAGGAAGATTAGGGGAAGAGGAGGAAGAGGAAGAGGAGGAGGAGGAAGAGTAGGAGGAAGAGGAAGAAGAGGAGGAGGAGAGGAAGAGGAGGAGTAGGAGGAAGAGGAAGAGGAGGAAGAGGAAGAGTATGAGGAAGAGTAGGGGAAGAGGAGGAAGAGTAGGGGGAAGAGGAGGAAGAGGAAGAAGAGGAGGAGGAGGTGGAACACTAGTACACTGGTACTGGTACACTAACATTTCTGTCTGTCTATTTGTCTGTCTGTCAAGCTCCCTGTCTATCTGTCTATCCGTCTAGCTCTCTGTCTCAGAGAGCCACAAGACTGTGTCATCACTTTTACTCACATCTTCAAGCAGAGTATAGCACTTTGTCTGGATTTCTTGGGTTATCCTAGGTAATTTATACTATGTATACTTGTATTTATGTGTACCTGTGAGACAGAGATAGACAGACAGATAGAAAGAGAGAGACAGATTGAAAGAGATAGAATGAGGGAGAAAGATAAAACACCATTGTGTATGACACCATGTTTCAGAGTTCCACAAGCTGCAGAACTAATAGGAATATGTTCAGTGACTGTATATTGGTATATATATTATAGAACAATAGTAAACAATGTTTTGTATTGTTTGTTTTTGTAAACAAGTTTTGTAAACAATATATTGATAATTATGTTTGTGTGCTTATTGTGTTGTATACAACGAGTGTATATATGTACATTGCACCTTACTTTGGTCTCATAGGCCACATAAGTTATGTGAAAAAATAAAATAGTGAAAAAAACAAACAAACCTTCAAATACAAGTAAACTCAAAGTTTACCGGGTGAGCGGCAGTCGCCGCTGTTGCCATACGCGGCTCATTTTCTGCAAACTTCATGCATCCATATCTCCGTAAGTATTGATGGTAAAATTTTTTTGTTTATCCTATAATGTTTAGAAAAAAAACTCTATTTTTTCATAAGAAAAAATAATTTTTTTTTTTTTTGAAATTTGGCCGACCCTGAGAACGAGTTTCGGAGAGGGCCTGTCGACCCTCAAAGGGTTAAAGCATGCTGATAAGTACAAAAAAAGGCACTAACATGCCAGGGCATTTCAGGCAGACTAATCCTAGTGCTTACAGACTACTTAACCCTTTCAGGGTTTCCAACGTACTAGTACGTCTTATGCGCCAGGGTTATTGATGTACTAGTACGCATAAATTCTAGCGCATTCAAATCAAGCAGGAAAAGGTTGGTAGGCCTACATGTGAAAGAATGGGTTTATGTGGTAAGTGTGCACAGTAGGAAAAAATCTATGCAACTGCAATGCATTGTGGGAGTGGTAAGTCAGTGTGCCTTTGTCACTAAGCCAAGAGTAAGGAGTAAGAAATACCTCACTCTCCCCCAGTGTGGGTGACGGGAAAGGCAGTGGGGGTGGTAGGGAAGGGAGTGTGGGTTTGTGTAAACAATATGGCTGGCTAGCTGGTCAGGTGGCTGGCTGGCTGGTCAGGTGGCTGGCTGGCTGGTCAGGTGTGTGTGTGTTTTGTGTGTGTGTGTGTGTGTGTGTGTGTGTGTGTGTGTGTGTGTGTGTGTGTGTTGTGTGTGTGTGTGTGTGTGTGTGGTGTGTCTGTGTGTCTGTGTGTCTTGTGTCTGTGTGTCTGTGTCTGTCTGTCTGTCTGTCCTGTCCTGTCTGTGTCTGTTGTCTCTGTCTCCTGTCTGTCTCGTCTGTCTGTCCTGTCTGTCTTCCTTCTCTCTTCTCTCTCTCCCCTCATCTCTCTCTCTCTCTCTCTCTCTCTCTCTCTCTCCTCTCTCTCTCCCCCTTCTCTCCTCTCTCTCGGGTACACATAAATACAATTACAG